GTTTGCTCAGCTCGTTAAAGCTCTTGGTAGCTGGACTAGCTGGTGCGCTTAAGTCTTTTAATAGTTGAACAGGAAGTCACATGACATACAATACAAGGGAAATCACTCACAACAACATTATAAATATAAGACTAATACAAGAAGAGTGAGTTCTCTTGATTTCACAATTCTCAATATATTACATTAACAGATGATGAAAAAATAAAAAAATTAAAATAAGTCTAGTACAAGAAAACTTAAAAACAAGGTAATGAAAAAAGCCCGGGAGCCGCCGTTAAGTGTTGCGCCCAACACACGGGCTCGACGCGGGTCGCTCAACATTATTTCTTTACTCGATAAAAAAAAAACTATGACACTGTACGTATAACTGCTAGTGGAAAGTGTGGCGTCAGCCTGTCTTGGTTCGTAGGATATGTGGAAACAATAATTTTAATATGATGAAAGAATGACCGGTCGTACGATATGTGAACTTAGTTAATGGACAGAGGTAGTCTACAATCTTGTCAGCATACCCCCCTATGGTATTCGCTTTTCCAATGTATTCACTGCCCGCCATAAATCAACCTGCGCTGTCAAACCGACCGACAAAACCTATTCATCACTGCGCGGCCCCTGTCAAAAGGAAAACTTCGCTGGCGGATCGATGCGTGCCAGGTGTCGTTAATGACTAGCAGCTGTCGTTAATCGAAATCAGGCCCTATACAAAGAATTTTCTATTTCTGTACACGTTCGTTGTGGAGGAGAATTTAAAAATTAATAAAAACATACAACAAAGAAAAGAAATATATCAAATAAACAACAAATTAACAACAATCAAACTAATTAAAGTTAATTAAAATTAAAATATAAAATTAAAAAAAAATTAAAATTTTTAAAAATTAAAATAAAAAATCAAATTAATTGAAATTTTTAAAAAAATCAAACTAATTAAAAAATCTAATTAAAAAATAATAATTAAAGTAATTAAAAAATAAACTAATTAAAAAATAATTAAAATTACGTAACTAGTTAATAAAAATTACAAAATTATAAACAAAGTAATTAAATTAAATTAAAATCAAACTAATTAAACAAATTAAAAAATCAAACAAATAATCAAATTACGTAATTAAAGTAAAATAATAATAATTATTAAATATTAAACTAATTAAAATTTAAAAAATCAAACTAATTAAAAAATAATTAAACTAATTAAAAATAAAAAAATAATAAATTAAAATTACAAAATTAAAAATTAAAATCAAATTACGTAACTAGTTAATAAAAATTAATTAAAAAACAAAATAAATAAAAAAATTCAAACTAATTAAAATTTAAAAAAGTAATGGTTATTTCGTAACTAGGTCACCGATGGTGATTACGTCACAAGGTCAACGGTGGTGACCTACTCCACCTCATCCTTACCCACCCTCACCCACCCGCCTCACCCACCCGCTCACCCACCTCCACCCAGGTGGGTGAGTATTTTACTATATAACATGTCTAACCCTCACCATCCGCCTCACCCACCTCACCCAGGTGGGTGAGTATTTTACTATATTTCGTTGTCCCTCCGGCTCCCCCGCCTCAGCATCCGCCTCACCCAGGCGGGTGAGTATTTTACGATATATCCTTTGCGCCTCCGCCTCCGCCTCACCATCCGCCTCCGCCTCACCCATACTACCCAAAAGTGACCTGAAATACGACTGATGTATGGACATTTTCTTAACCCATATTATCCCAAGGTCTCAAATTTTTATAATTTTTTGATATTGCTTAGCTTTTGGGCACTGAATGAAGGAATGACTATAAATTTTTAAAAAAAAATCAATACTTTTTTAAATATCGATTTTTTTAAAAAAACGTCCCCTAAATGGGACGCTAGCAACGAACGGCCCCATGTACATTTATTGAAAAAAAATCATTTATCACAAAATATGGCTAATCTCGTAAAAATTAAGCTGTATACTGATTTTGTATTGTTAGGCCAATGATTTCAATGTTTAGGACAGCTAAAAATACTGAAAATGTTCAATTGGGTTAGCCATACCATGGCCTAAAATGCAGAAATTATGTTCAAATGTCTAGTTTTCTTTCAATTTATCATCCATCAAACTGAATAACACTTGGAAATAATTAAAGCTGTGACTGGTACATCTAAATATATGCACATGATCACAATTATTGTAATTATTCATCAAATGTAATATAATTAAAGATAAATAATTGATTTTTTGGGAGGGGGGGGGGGCGTACTTGAAATTTGCAAGGGGGGGGGGCTTAAATTGCCGGGGGAGGGTGGATACTGATAAAGGTATGTTTTCTATATAAATTCCATTTTGCTCTATGGGCAGACGCCCCCCCCCCCTGGCGGCCTGTATTGAGTGTTCATGGCTCTCATCCATGTATGCACCTCACAATTCGAACACCTCACAATCTAGCACCTGCAATCATTTTACAAAGCCTCGTAAAAGTTAACAAAGTAAAACTGGTATCGGGAACCTTCGGAGGGAAATATTATTGGGGCATGACAACAGTACACAGCTAATTCACATTTCTGCTATATGTAGCTTGAGCTCTCTTATATGAAGAGTGTTAACCAACCCCCATGACTGAATCGTTTCACCTAAATCGTGACCATTGTTATTATTCTGGTTTGTTATAATTTTAATATCACGGACTAGTAAATTTACAGCAATACTAAATTAGTTTATATTCAATGGTATCAAATACTTCAGTTAGTGTAATTCTGAAAACTTAATAATAAAAAAAAAGTTTTTCAATATTTCAATTTTTTATACAATAATATATAAGTAAATATAGGTCAAGGTCATAACTAAATATCTATAAATACTACTTAACACCCCAAAGTCAACGGTTAACTAAGTCAACAATTGTTTCACCATAAATAACCATTTAACATAAACATTTGCATCTATTTTTCTCGTTACGGTCCAATAAATGTGACGTTTGTGTAACAATCTACATGGGGCCTTTCGTTGCTAGCGTCCCACTTATGGGACACTTATTGTAAACTTCATATAACGAAGTAGTTTAAAAAAATTGATACTCTTAAATTTTGATCAGATAGAAATATGGTACTGCTACAAGTTTCAAATGTATTTTGCACTTAAAATGTTACTATTTTACAAGATATGCATTTTCATGTGCGCATGTTTTTTTTCCGCCATCTTGACAAGTCCTGCAAAGCCGGCGCTATAACATTTTTCTAAAATAATTTTTTTCACAAAACGCACACAAATTCAAAAGTCTAACCAGTTTCAAATACATTGAACTATAGTTTGTGTTTTTACTAGTTTTTAATAAATTTTAGCAATTTTTTTTACAAGCGTCCCATAAGTGAAACGCTAGCAGACTATGGGTTAATTTGAAAAGTGGCTGCTTTAATGTATATCTTTATTTACAAAATAAATATACTTCTTAAATAACCACTTTCAAAAGAACGCTAGAAGAGCAACTTATGTTTCTCAAAAATTAGTCTTAGCAGGTATTCAAATGGCCTATTAAAATATTACCAGAGCTAACTTTTTAACAAATATCAACTTATTGTCGCATCTGCAAGTGGTCGATCTAGTTCAATCACTTTAAAAAGGGTATAGTTTATATAAAGCTGCGGTCACTCTAAGGCAGTTCCGGTAACTCTAAACTCGATTAATGAGATGACTCTAATTTTCTAACCGATTTCGTCTGTACACAATCTCTTCACATGCCGAGGTCACAAAAACAGGTCAGTTCTACTTCACCGGCCCAGTGTCTTCCCATCTCAGACATGTTTTTGTCTTTGAAAACACATATTTCGGCTGAGCATGGGTCTGATCACACTATCTCTTCATATGCTGACGTCACAGGTGAACTATACACCTACCCAACTCTAATTCACCTGCCCAGTGTTCCGCCAAGTCTCAGACAACGTGTTTTATCGTTTAAAAAATAAAATTTCGGCCGAGCGTTGCTCTGACCACACTATCCACGTCATATGCTGAGAACGAAGAAACAGGTGAACTCTACTTCACCTGCCCTGTATCCCACAAAGTTCCGATAGGCAACTATCATTCACATCTAAAAAAAAAAAAATTGACATTGACATGATGTCTCTAGCACCCGTGCCCCCCGCATGGAAGCATATCTTTTACACTATCACCTAAGCTATCTGGGATTGTCGCTATAACGGTTTTTTTTGTACTTAATATAAATAGTTTTGAGTCTGCTTACGAAACTTGATTTACGCGAATAGGTCCTAGAATTATCAAGATTCTACGACTGGTTTGGTTAAGTCGAGTTTTCTCGTAGATAGATAAATCACTTGTAATCTTGAATTACATGATTCGTGAAGCTCAAAAAACAAAGATTTATAGCAAATATTTAAGAACTAAAATAGTTTAATAAAATGCTTTTTAATATCAACTAATTAATTTTGGTTTGACCTAGATTTTAGATCTATAAATAACTCCCTTCGACAGCTGATCTTTAGATTCTAGATCTAGAGAAATTTATTGTATCGGCCCTACTTAATTGAAAAGGACTGTTGAAAATTGATATAAGTGTTGGAACGTAATTTAATAGCAAATGGACGTATCGTCAAAGCTATAGCCGACAGAAAAGTAGCTATATAATGCATTATACTTTTAAAATAGCAACAAAATCTTGTATGGAAGACGCCATTATTGTTGTAAAAAGTAAATAAATCATTTGACTTCACCATTCACTATAAGTAAACTAATTGTTCTGAACTTTTATGTGGTTAATCTACCAATGAATTAATCAATCGATTAATTAACGTCTTTACATTAATTTTTTATTAACAGTATGTTTAAAAAAAAAAAAAATTGTCCTCTACTTAAATACTATTGCACTGCTCTACACATAGTGCAGATTCTCTCCTTTAACCAAACGGACAAACAAAAAAAACAAAACAAAAAACTCAAACATGTTAAATAACTTGAGTTTTTGTAGTATATAGATATATTTTCAGATGCCATTAATTATATTTTCAGGTTAACGCAACTGAAATATTTAATGACGAGACCAGGGCACATCCTTAACATGTGCAAGCACCTTCGTGTGTTTGTTTTTCTACTGGCAAGCATCACGAATGTGTATTGTGGAGACGTACTGCAAACTACACATCAAGACAACAGCACACTTCAACACCAATCAAAACGAAACGTTGGCACAACAAAGGTCAATATTTAAAATTAATTTAATTTTAAAAAAGTACTTTTTTTTTTATGACCATGTCTACATAAGCTGCTAATAATGACAATTGAAATATATACTGAATTTATTTTCATAAAAGACTACTAATATCTCTTAACCAGACAGCTCATGTAATGAGCAAGAGGTTTAGGAATATGTTGGTGGTTTTATATTAGTTACTAATTTACTTTTTACATTGGGAAAAATGCCACAGCATTACAACAGATAAACGTAAGAGAGTAATGATGCATCTATGTTTACGTGTGACAAAATGTTTGCGTTCGATATTTCAAACACGTTTGAATGTTTAATAGTCATGAGGATATTACGACATAACCATACCCCTCTGTTACATATTTTCAATACTCTTCTGACATGAACTTTATTATTAATTGAAGATGAAATAATTATACAAAATACTTAACGTGTAATTTCAATTATAATTTATTCTGAACACCTGAAAATGTAAATGTGTAATTAAATGGTAATTATATGTTCTTCAGGGAGAAGAAAACAAGAAAATTTAAAAAAACAAAAATGGAAAATCAAAATATTTTTTTTCAAGAGGGTTGGCTGAAATAAATATGTGATAAAAGAAGAATATTATTGTAAATATTAGAAGCAGCCTGGATGATAAAAACAAATCTTCATTCCTCCATTTTAAAACAGCTTTATTAATAAAAGTCATCCTACTTTTCATACGTTTATGTATTAAAACATTACAAAACCAGCAAATAATAACAATTTGTTTATAGTTTTGTACAGTTTCAAACACATTATTATAATCTGTATGTATATATATATATATATATATATATATATATATATATATATATATATATATATATATATATATATATATATAAAGCAAAGTAGTCGGGTCCCCGATCGGGCACTTCCCGGCGCTTCAAATTAGGCAAGCTCTTGCCTTTGAGCAATAGAACACGTGGGCCGGTGCTGGTCTGCCGCAAAGTCCACGCTGAGGTGTCAAAACTGACCACGACTGCCTGGCTCCTTATATGAGCTATATATCGCAAAATACTTCAGCTGAACGACCCCCCCCCCCCCCCCGCTTGATATTTTTTTAGGTGGTAGAACAACCCCTAAGGGTGTCAGAAACAACTCGCATTATCATGGAAAAATCTGCAAAGTTGTCAAAACTGACCGTTCGTTTTTGCCTATATAATCTTTTTAACTTATGGGAAAAACAGAGGGTAATTTCAACGGGTGTAGGACAAAAGGCCGACCTCCAAATGTCCGACGAGACAAAAGGCCGACACGGACAAAAGGCCGACATGGACAAAAGGCCGACAGCCATAAGGCCGACAGGACTTAAGGCCGACAGGACATAAAGCCGACAGCCAATAGGCCGACAGGACATAAGGCCGTAACGGTACTCAAGTTATCGTGTTTACAGACAAATACACACATACACACATACATACACAGAGACATACGGACAACTATGCAAAATTATTTTTTTCCGACTCAGGTAGGTGTAAAGCATCGAGATTCGCAAAGGACTTATACAGATTAACACCACAAATATTCGTTTTTGACTCCAGCTTTCTTAAATTAAAATGTTATTTCTATGACAGATTTTAACTTTACGTTGATATAATCTTATATAATCTTATGATTGAAAGCGGAATACTCAAACAACAACCACATATCTAACACTATTCATTTTTCAGAATTTTTTCTGCTTAAAATAAAGTCCACAATTTTTATGCTGTATTATCTAATATATAAAGTTCAATTCTGTATTTAAAATGTTTGTAAAATGTTTGCCGTGGATTACAAAGGAATATCAACAAAAAAACAAAAAATCGAAACTTTGATGGATTAAAGTGTTAGATTATTAAAGTGATTAAAGTGCTCATTGTCTAAATTTATGAGTTAAAAAATTAATACTTAAAGTGTTGGGAAATAATTTTCATTTTTCAAACTGATAGTAATAATTGACGGCATGTTTATTAAACACAATTTTTAAAAATATCATCTTTTACAAAAACTCTAATTATGTCTGAAAATTATTTATATTTAGTACTTTAGCACTTACTTCCCTTTGATAAATTAGGAAAACACAATTACTTCCCTTTATAAAACATTGCATTAGTGGAAAAGAATATAGTTTTTATTACTTTGTTTTGGTGTTGGGAAAAAAAAAAATTACGTAAATAGCGGGGATTGATCAAGTGCAAATGTTATAGGTATTTTACGGATAAGCTTGGAGTATTATAATTGTTCATTAAATTGAAACAGGCGCGTCCGCCGGCGCTCCACCAGGGTTCAATTTGGCGCCCTGGGCTATCCTGTGGCGCTATGATGCATAATTTTGCTTTAAACAGTGCGATAGAGTATGGATAAGAAAGGTTACTACAATCTTTAAGTGAATGAAATCCGGGTGTCCTCTGGCGCCCAGACAGGGTGATATTTGGGGCCCCGGGCCTCCCGTGTTCTGTTTGGCGCCTACGTTCGTTTAAGTGAGTGCAAAGACTATGAATAAGTTGAAGTGGTATAGTCGTTTATTAAGCTGAAACAGGCGATTCCGTCGACGCCCCAGCATGGTGCGATTTGGCACCCCGGGCTAGACTGCGAGCACTTTGTATTTTTGTTCGCGTTAGTGTTTTCTTTGTGTTTAGGTTGGGTTTGCGTTAGTAGTTGCGTTTTGATTTGGTTCGTTTTTGTTCATTCTTTTTTCGTTTTCGTTTGTGTTTTTTTTTCTTTTGGTTTGTGTTTGTATTTGTGTTTGTGGTTGGTTTTGCGTTTGGATTTGGTTTGTTTTCGTTTGCTTTTACGTTTGTGTTTTTTCTTTGGATTTGTGTTTGTGTTTGCAGTTGGTTTTGCGTTTGGATTTGCTTTGTTTTCGTTTCCTTTTTCTTTTTTTTTCTTTGTGTTCGTATTTGTAATTGTGTTAGAGTTCTGTTTGCGTTTTGTTGTTTTGTTTATGGTTGGTTGTGGTTTGGGTGGGCAATGCCTGGTTTATGATGATTACTAAACACACAGGTAATGGTCTTTAACAGAAAGTTTTTTTCACAGAAGCCAGAGCAGGGCCTGGATGGGACGGCTAGTATCTATAAGAATCCTAATTACCCTGTTAACATTTGAGTTGGGTCTGTTTAGTATTCTATTTTTGGCGAATTGTTTTATTTCTCTCTGCCAATCTTGGTGATATAGCTACTTTCATGTATATTATAAATTTTTAAATTTCTGAAGTCTAAAGTACTCCAATCAATATCCACAGTATCCAATGCCTTACACTGGTGAAATTAAGCATCCGTTGTATGATGGCAAAGAAATCATTGTGGAAGGAGTCATCGATAAAAAACCCCAAAGGTTATAAAAATTATTTTTTAAAGAATATAAACTACATATGATAAAAAATATACTTTCTATGAATTAGTTGAAATTGACTTTTAACATGATTTTGACTTTACAGCCCAGCATATCTTATTAGTGGCATGCCCAAAAACGTTAAATACTCTCTATCTAGTTTTATTGTCGAATTGTGTGAGAAAAGATCATGCTACCCGGACATCGAAATGCAGGCCACTTATCGTTTTCACACTCAGAGATTCAACTTGAATAGCAGAAGAAACTTCAAGTGGGGACCTAACAAAGTTACAGACGGTGAACTGTTACAAGAAAAACAAACATTTAACATGAAAATTGTAATTTACAGCCAACACATTAAGGTAAAGCCAATGAAATTTTTCAGAATATTTTAATTTTTTTTCTACACCACCCATAATTCTTTTGATGAGTGTGGGTTTAAGGGTCATTCATAAATGATGTCCTTCTTATTTGATTTTCCCCCTCTTGTTACTACTGTCACTAAACGTTACAAAAAAATCAAACATCTGGTCTAATAAAACGTCACACCTCTGCCGATATGTAATTGTCTTTTAAACACATGCTGACGTTTTTAAATGTTCATTTTACTAGGTATTTCTCAAAAGCAAAACTTTTGAATTAAATGGATGGGTAAGGATGACTAAGATAAAGTACATTCGGATTCGTGCAAGCGCTAAAGTACATTGGATTTTGTATTCAGTAGGTCACACAACTTAATATTTAACTTAGTATTCTTAAAATAGGCATTCAAATATAGGAAATACCAGTCATAAAAAATGAATATTATACATTAAGTTATTTACCGAAGTGACTGAGATAGGTAAGCTCTACATCACCTGCCTCATTATCATCTGAAAGGGCACTTCACTGGTTTTTCATATATATATATATATATATATATATATATATATATATATATATATATATATATATATATATATATATATATATATACATATATATATTTACTAGTTGTACCGGCCAGGAATTTCACTATAAATTGAGGTAGAATTTATTTATGAACGGCCGTGATTTTCGTGTTTTTAAGTATCATATATCCGGCGCTGTCTGGGGTTTGGGAAATAATTAAAATTTAAATTAAAGCCGTTCTTAATGTACCAAAAATTAGTTAGTTTCATCATAAAAGTGGGGATACAATTTAAACTTAGACGGCTTATATTTTATAACAGTACTTTGTATATGGATAAGAGTAAGAAATAGAGTTCACAATTATTGTGACATTAAAATGACCTTGAGAATGACAGTTGTAATAAATTTAGTAACATATTCATGTGTAATATTATTAAAAAGTTTTAATAATCAAGAAATGAAAATGTTCACTTGTTTGTAAGATAATGATGATTTATCAGATCTTTAACTTACATGGGAAATTTAGTTTTTCTATCTCAAACAGACCTCAAGTTATAGGCTTTTGAAAAAAAAAAGAATTAGTTCTACTTCCGATGTCCTGAAATTGATGAAACTTTGACACATAATTACAAAATAATTAATGTAAAAAAAAAACGCTTAATTGAAAAAAACAATATACCAATCGACTATATTATATATATATATATATATATATATATATATATATATATATATATATATATATATATATATATATATATATATATATATATATATATATATATATATATATAAATATATATATATATATATATATATATATATATATATATATATATATATATATATATATATATATATATATATATATATATATATATATATATATATATATATATATATATATATATATATATATATATATATATATATATACATATATATATATATACATATATATATATATATACATATATATATATACATATATATTTATGGAAAGATAGAGACATATATAGAGAGATATAGATAGATAGTCCTACATAGAGGTATAGATACATACATAAACCTTACATTTCAGTTTCATCTACCAGTAAGTATAAATCTATTTATCTAACTTTATCATACACTAGCTGTATCCCGTGCTCCGCCACGGTAAATCATTTTTAAATATACCAACTTTGGAACAGAACAAAACTAAACACAACACAAACGAACGAACGCAAAAAAAAACACGAAAAAACGAACACAACACTCATAACATAAACACAATTTAAATGCAATCATAAAGGCATATTGCTCACAGTCTAGCCCGTAGCGCCAAATCGCGACCTTTCCGAGTCCCGGCGGACGCGTCTGTCACAATGAATGACTACAAAACAGAGGCGTTGCGACCGTTTCCGGCGCCCGGAGACAAACTTTCGATTTGACCCTCCCTCAAACTTACGATTTGCACCCCGTCCCCTAAAAATTTCAATTTCCACCCCACCCCCTTAAACTTTTGATTTACATTCCCCTCAGACTATCGATTTACACCACTTTTGATTTGAAATTCCCCCCACTCAAACTTTTGATTTGCACCCCCCTCAAACTTTCGATTTGCACCCTACCCCCCCTCCCCCTCCCTAAAACTTTCGATTTCCACCCCCCCCCCGCCTAGCTACGCCTCTCTTTTAAAACCCCAGCTTGCCCGCAAACCGAAAGATAGAATAATAATAAATAATATACAATAAAAAATAGGCAATATTTAAAATATCCGTGTTTACCTACCATATATCACTTTATCAATTCACGCATTTTTTTCCCAGTATTCTAATTTTAAAAATTTACAATTGAGTTTCATAACTAAAACCATTGCGCACCCAATGTCTATAATGGTGCGGAATAGTTGATTAAAAATTAGAAATAGTAAACAGTACATTCAGTGAATAAAATAAATAAAAGATTGCCTTTTATCAATCCATTCTAATTATAATTTTCTAACAATCCGCATCCGCACAATTTGCATTCACATTTTGCTAATTATATTATTGCAACACTAATTCCTTCTAGGAGGTCCGTAGATTTGCATTCACATTTTTTTTTATTAGCGTGAGTTTAATTTATTTTTAAATTACCCCCCTTGTCAAAATTAGAAAAAAGAATTAAATTAATTTGATTTTTCTACCCTACTGTTATTACGTTATTAAAATGTTTACATCTTTTCAAGACATAAAAAAAAAATAATATTCGACATTGATCCTTTTAATATGTTTCAGCAGTGTTCTTGTATTTAATATTTTCTTTACGTTATGCGAAAGAGTAAAAACCGTGGCGACTATAAAATATCCTTATGCCGTTATATAAACAAACCCTACTCAATTACTTGTTGCATGACACTGCGGTGCACTGAAAAGCACAGCATGGTGCGTAGATTACTTTTATAGTCCCAAAATCTATAGCGATGACGGACGGAAAGAAGAAAGGACAGACACAGCCCGCTTATATTATAGATATGTATTGTCACAGACTGTATAATTAGGTATGTTTATATTATATTGTGTTTTACATGAAGTTGCATGAATGTAGAGTACCTGGCTAGCGGAAGGACTGTCTGAGCGACTCGTCATGTATTTTCCCATGCTTTTGGGTGAGATCGCTCATGTACGTAAGGGGAGAGAATGGACCGTATAAAAGGTAGAGCGAAAGGTGAACGGGGTGCTTGCGCTTGGACTGTGATTGTGAATGTAGGATGTCACTACGTCACTTTGATTCGTGACTGTACTTATACTAAATTATACTAGTTGTTTATCTATGGATTTAATATGGATTCATCATTTCACTGTAGTGTATAAAGTGTAAATAAAGTTATAGTTTCACAACCACTGTTGCTCGTGTGAGTATATTGAAGAACCCACAATAACAACAATGAAATTGATGTTGTTACATATGGTGTCAGAAGTGGGGGCAACACCAGTTGCTACATTGTCAGTGAGCGTCCACTACTACTGTTACATTGTCAGAAGCAATTGAAGAAGTGTTGCTACATTATTATTAGACGTGTTGATACATTGGAGTCAGGTGATTGAAGAAGCTGATACATTATTGTCAGAAATGGTCAACATTTGTTACTTTTTTGTTGGCTGAAGTGGACGTATACTCAAGTTGTTACACTGATGTTGTTACATTGGTAAATTATATTGAAGTCAGAAATCGTCAACAAAGTTACAGTGTTACCACAAGTGATCAAGAATTGTCACATTATTATTGTAAGCAGTTTTCAACGTTTTTGAAGTGGTCTTCTACTGTTTGCCAGTGAACAACGCTGATATATCAAGCAAGTACGTCAAGTTATTGAAAGTTATCGACAGTCAAGTCGGAAGTTGTATTCAAGTCAAGTCAAGTCATCAACGTGATAATTGTTATCACATTATTTTCGACATTGTCTCACCAATGTCGAATAAATATCGTCTGTAACAGGTTATTGTTACACCTAAATGTGTGTTATTTCTATCCGGATTAGCTGATCAAGTTTTTCTGTTTGGATTTAGCTGATCAAGTATTAGTGTTTCTTTTCTACTGTGGATTAGCAGATCAAGTTTATTATTTATAACTGTTCCTAAACTGTTACTAAAGCTGTCTTATCTAAAACTGGACAAATTTCTTCTATGAAAAAGGCTACTGGAACTATTTTGAATTTTCTCAACTATTTGGAATTTATTAACAAAGTGAACGTTTCTATTTTTGGACGTATATATGTACTATGAACTTTTCATGGATTACCAGATGTCTGATATCAACTGACAAGCTAGAAACCAAGAAAGGGTATTGTTACATTAATTAACACATACATATTGTTAACTAATATGATATGAATTTACATTTTATGTCATAAATAGAAAACTGATCAAAATGTCAAGTCGTACTTATTTTAAAGAGCTAATGAAGGAGCTTGATATTCGGATGGTCAAGATGTCAAGACTGGAAGAATATATGGAAATGGCGAGGGAACTAGGCATTAAGAAGATGAAGAAGAAGATGGCCTGGGCAACCAATCGACTTGAAAAATACAGAGAAGAAGAAAAAGAAGCATGGGACAAAGAAACAGAACAACCCCGACTAGCTCATGAAGAAGTAATTAGAGAATTAGATGATGAGATAGAAATAATGCGTGATAGATTAAGAGATTTTACATACACACATGAACCAAAATTAGAAAGTCAACAGGCAGAACTTGAAGAAGTAAATATTGGCAACCTTTGGAATGAAGAACAGAGTAACATAGTCCAGGAAGAATTGAAACCCAAGGATAAAACAGAGGTTGAACTTAATAATGATTTAAAGGTGACAGATACATTAGAATGTCTTAAGATTGACTCTTTATTGACTCAAACGCAGGTACACGA